CCCCAAAACCCCAAAACCCCAAAACCCCAAAACCCCAAAACCCCTTCACAAAAACAAAATTTTGAAATCTTTACTACATTTTTATAAAATATAAGATTCTTATCATGAATGTGGAAGATATTAAAGAGTAAGTGGCTGGAAATGGGTCAAGAAAGGCGGTCGTCCATTTGCTAGATAATTAAAGAACTATTTAACAGTAATAATCACTGATTAGTTCATAAAACTAACATAGTGGGTGTCAAAATTTTAAGAAATACTTTAATAAGAAGCATGTAGCATCTTATCTTATAAGATATCTCTCCATGTATGTTCTTGTCACCCGCACTTTCTCTCTTCGAAGTCTTCTGGCTCAAAAGTCTTCGAAACTTCTCTTATTTCACCTGCTTCTTAATTTTCCATCTTGGGTAGGACATACAGTGGTTTCTACTGCGGTCTCAGTGGTCTAGGACCAAAACAAGGAAGTTCGGGCATTTAGATTCAAAGGAGTAAAGGTTTTAGTCACAGAAGGCTTAGATGGGGCTAATGGGAAGTGACAGGTTTTGAGTGGTTATTTTGAGGAAAGTTGATTTTTTATGGGGAAAATTTTTGTGAAGGTGGGTAATAGGCTTTTAAATGTTGTAAGTGTGCTTAATAGGTCTTGTGAGAGAGAAAATTGTGAAGGTGAGCTTTTTAGGGTGAGATTGGGTGACATTTTTATAGAGCCTTTTCAAGGTAATTTAGCAAAATTGAAGTGCTTGGACGTTGTTTTAGAGAATGCATATCAGGAAAATAAATATGAAGAAAATAAATCAAAAGAGCCTCAGAAAGTTGATTCTTTCCTTTCAAAGTACGTCAAAATTCTTTTAACAGTGAGATTTACTCTAGCTTCTCTCATTCCACTCAGACACTTTACATCTAGCAGAATCCTAGCTGGGAGAAGACTTCCATTTCTCAAGATAATAAAAGCGAATTTCTAGCCTTCATATTTGAGCAAGCCAATCTTTTTCTAGTCCAGGATTTAAAACAGAAGGTTTTGCTTAATAGATTTAGTCAATTTTCTTAGAGAGTTCATGATTTCCAAAGAGAATTATATTCTACAATCTATTAATTCTTCAGTTCCAGTTTCCTCAACCCCTTCTGCATATCTTCCCATATATCAGCAGCTAGGCAACCCTCTATTCTAGAATAGTTTTAATGGAAACTGCTTAGGCATCAGATAATTTACAAATGCTTTTTAAATAAGCCTCTAACTATATTTATGCTCCTCCAATATGAGCGTATAGGAAGTCTTCAAGTGGGATGACCAGACCTGCCTCTCGAGAACCAGAGAAAACCCAAGCAGCAGACCAAAAGAGTGAGAGTGATACTAAGTCTCTTGTCCAAGTGGTTTTGAAGAGGGTTAAAACTCATGGGCTTAAGTGGCCTTATCATCCAGTACAAGTCTTGTCCTGGATTTTCTATGTTGTAAATCTAGGCAGTTACTATGTGGTCATCCTTCCATGCATCCTGTCGCTCTCTTTCGTGACAATATTTGTTTTGTCAATCGTATACGCATTCATTAACATTGGTGTGCTATTTTACGCAATCAAAGCAATGTGGTGCAACCCGACAGATTTAGAAGTTCTGAAGAGTAGAGAACTTATGAGCAAAGGAATTATACCTGAAAAAGGTAAACTGACATTCTTTTGCCAAGTTTGAGAATCATATGTGAGTGAGAGATCAAAGCACTGTGGGAGTTGAAATAGATGTGTTGAAAACTTTGATCATCATTGAAAATGGCTAAATAATTGTATCGGAGGAAAGAATTATAAGACCTTCATCCTCTTAATAATCTTGGTTGGAATTCAAACATGCTACTATACTATATCTGGTATTCTCTATACAATCCTAGGGTTTAGAAAGCATCCAGATGATTCTGAAACCTCTCTTTGCTTAATTGAGCGTGATGATCACAAGCCCACAGCTATTCTAGTAACTTGCCTCGTTCTAGCTACCACTGTAGTCAGCTTGCTTCTCTCTATTGGTATCTTCATGTTACTTAAGCTGCACTACAAGCTTAGTAAATATTCCTTCACAACTTATGAATACCTGAACTATACTCATGAGAGGAAGAGCAGGCTCCAAAGACTCAAGCAAGGGTACATCACAAAACAGAAGTTTGATGAGCTAGAGCTCAAGGCTAAATAATAAGGCATTCAAGAAAAAATCCAAGGTGCTTCAGGAAGTTGATGGGCCCATGGCACAGCAGACTATTGCAGCAAAGGTGAGCATTTAGGAAAGATACCACTTTTGGAGATTTTAGAATTGGGGTTTGGATAATCGAGTTTTTGATCATAAGTATTACTGGAAGCAAAGTAGCTTCAAATTTCCATTTCAAACATAAATAGATTTTGTGTCTCTCTGCAAATCTCAATTATGATACTAAATTAGTTCTTTAAGCTTTCTATGATTACTAATAATCAACATAAGCTTCGTTAGCCATGTATTCTAATTTATTAAGATGATGAAGAAACAAGAAGAGGCCAAAGGTAGTATAGCCAAAGAATTACACTTGGTAAGCTTCTATGCTCAAAATTAGAACTCAAAAGGAAAGGATAAAATGGTAAACGAGACAGAACCCCAAATGAGAGATCTGGGCACAGACCATCCTTGTGATAACGCATTGGAGGAGAACGATCTTGTCTTTGGAAAGAAAACTACTCAGAAATCCAACAACTTCTGGTGCTCATCAGTGTTCTGTATACCTTGTACTAGAAGGGTAAACGAAGATCAAAACGTTGTGCACCGAAAAGATGATTTACATGAGGACTCAAAGGAAAGTCTCATGAAAACAATAATTAATAACGGTATTCCTCAAGTTCATCTTCAGACTCTACAAAATCTAAGAGACAGAAAAACAGTAAATTCCTAAGAACTGAAGAGAGCTACAAGCCGTGCTCTGATGATGAAGAACCAGAAGATGATCAAGAAGAATTCAAAGCAGATCAGTATGGTTTGATTTAATTTTGTAGTTTTCGAAGGGAACCCTTGGACCTTCCTCACCAAAGCTTTAGTAGCAAGAAGGAAGAGCAAGCTAATACTCTAGAGATCTTCCACAATCAAGGAAGAGATATTGAGAATTCTATATCTAATAAGAGTATTGGCAGTAGTAAAATATCCAACATGTTTATCCAATAGGCATCATTGAGAGAAGAGTAGGGTTCAAACATGAAGAAGAGATGATTTACGATTATAAAACTGAGAATTATAAAAAGACAAATGATAGGTAAGCTTAGCTTCTCAGGTCAAGTTCTCTCAAAAATTTGCTCAGAAATTTTATTACTTATAGGATGGAACTCACAAAGAAACAGAGGCTTCCACCTTTGTCACAGCATAACAACTTTCTTGGTGACTATAAAGACCAATTTGTTCATAAATCTTTTCAAAGAAATAGTCCAAGAATGGACTTATTGTACAAAAGTAGTGAAGAAAGTCATCGTGAGTCAAGACCTTCGACAGAAATGTATGATCACAAAGGAGCTGAACTAGATGTTTATTGTATGGATAAAATTGAGGAGGAAAGCCCCAGTTTGTACAATAAGAAGGTTAATGAGTAGGATGTTTTAGATATATATTGCTTCAATTTAGAAGAGAACTTAGGGGTTTTGGGGTTTTGGGGTTTTGGGGTTTTGGGG